CAAGGCTATCCAGACTGGGCAGAAAGAGAAATGTCATGATTAATAAAATCTGTCTTGAGCTTGGCAGTGGTAGTAGAGGGGGTACCACTTGGGCTAGTCATTTTATCTAGGAAAATGTGTTATTCTGCCAGGTAGATGCAAAATCATTTGGGTAGACAAATCTTTGGATGGGTCGTAATGCAGCTAGTAGGCACATTTACACACCATGAGCTAAGAATGAATTTGAGAACTGTAATTTACATGCAAAATTCCAAAATTTTGAAGTTGTCAACACTTATGGCTGAGATGTCAAAACACACAATGGAACAGCACTAACTTTTATACTGTATAATACCAAGGTATTTTAAATGATATGTTTTATATTATATATGCTCTCAAAGGTTTTTAACGTAAGAGCATTAGCATATCTTTATAATAAAAACTGATATAGTGAGAGAGAATGTCAAAGATTTTTTTTTTTATGACTTTCACTGAAAAGTCAAGATGATCGCCAGTAGAGACTCTATAAGCGGGTTGTTCTTCCAAGTAAAACTATCTCCCCGCCCCTTTACTTGCTATAGAAGCCCACTCTTTCTTTGACAGATAAGAGCTGTCTACAGAATGAGCCCTATTTCTTTGTCACATATGGTAAAACAGTGGGTCTCAAATTGTGGCCCCAGACCAGCAGCATCAGTATCAATCACCTTCTCAGAAATGCAGTCTGTTAGAAATGCAGCCGCACCCAGATCTACTGGGTCAGACACTGTAGGAGTGTGCCCAGCAATCTGTTTAAACAAGCTGTCCAGCTGACCCTGGGCTCTAGTTTGAGAGCCACTGCTGTGAGTTGTTGCCTTCTAGAATCGGAAAGAGAAGTTGGGGAGTGCCCTAGGGAGACATGGACCTGGATGGCAGCAAAGCTGGCCTGTGATGTGAACATTCATAGGACCCAGTGGACTTTCTTTATCCATTTCTTCTTTTATACCCCATGTACCAACTCTCTACTTACTCAGAAAAGATTTGAGGTGCTCCCAGGATCTCCCCAGTCCTCATCCCCATCCCACCCACCACCAAACTGCTTAGAATCCCTTCTTTGGGGGTGGTAACAGAGTGGGGAGAGGAGGATGGCATTTATACTTTCCCTCATGTAACAATGAAGCAGTATTTTTATTCAAAACAGGATTGGTATCATGAGCCCCAGTTTAGTATGTCAAAACCCAACAGGCCCCATTGCTAGTAAACACTTGTGAAGACAGAACAGTACCTGGTTCGTGGTGACTGTTCACTGTATGTAGGAGGTAATGATGTTGGTGAAGATTACTGCAAGGGCCAAATTTCTCACAGAGGGTGCCTGGGTGCCTGGGTTGACATCTAGAAGTAGTTGCTATTTGCACCCAGTGGGTGGTTGTTATGTTAAGAAGACTGCCAGCTGGAGGTAGATCTTGATCTTAAAACCCTTCAGAGGCAAGAAGGGCTCCCTGAGGACAATGCCTTCACTGTGCCCCAACTGTGAGGATGTTCATTAGCTGAGGAGCTGCTAGCCTGTTGGTACTCGCCACAGAGACAAGGATCCTGTCTGGGATCAGCATTTGGGGCAACAAGCATGGGAGGAAGGACTAAAGAACATCAAGCAGAGCTAAGGGGCATTTCAGGGCCTTTGTAGTAAGAGTTTAGTGTTGGGGAGCCCAAAATGCAAGGGGTGGAGTGGATTGGTCACATGACAGAAGACAGCAGTTTAGATGCTGGCCACCAAATGTGCAACCTCTGAGCAAGCTTGAGACTCTGCAGGCCAGAAAGACAGTGGGTCCCTGAGACCTACAGGCAGATCAAAGCATTGCTATAGGAAGCCTATGACCAGAGTTGGATTTGGAAGGCTCAAGTTAGGGTTCTTAGTTCCAATCCTTTTTCTTTCTTTGTTTCTTTCTTTCTTTCTTTCTTTCTTTCTTTCTTTTTCTTTCTTTCTTCTCTTCTCTTCTCTTCTCTTCTCTTCTCTTCTCTTCTCTTCTCTTCTCTTCTCTTCTCTTCTCTTTTCTTTTCTTTTCTTTCATGGAAATGCTGTTCTACATCCTGGTGTGGCCAGCAGAGCACCACTTGTCAGCATTAGAAAGATAAGGGGAGAGAGGGCAGGAGGAGGGAAGAGGGATAGAGAGAGGGAAAGGAAAGATGAAGGGGAGGAGCAGGAAGTGGGAAAGGTAAGAAGACAGAAGAGAAGATAGGGAAAGAGGAGGAAGGAGGGATAGAGGAGGAAGGAGGGAATGAGGAAGGGTTAGAAGGGATGGAGGAGAAGGAATGATGATTGCTAGTCCCAGTGTGCCCACTGCTTTCCAAGCCCTGCCCTACTTGTTTTGCATGTGCTTCTCAGTTATCAGAACTGTGAGATTGGGTCATGGAAGAGTCTGGAGACACTTAAGGAGAGTCTTATTTCTAATTTAAAAAATAGGTTACAGTGAATTTTTTTCTGCCTCAGCCCCAAGATCTGAGGGAACCAAATCAATTCCATCTACTATAATGATGCCCATTAAGTGTAGATTGAATCATTAGTATGAGAGGAAGCAATGGAAGGAGAAGGTCAAGTTTACTCCAGTCTTGGGCATTTTCCCTTACTCATGCTTATGCTGTTCCTCCAGAACCTGAAGCCCATTAGGCTAGGATCTCAAACTGATATGCTTACAGGAACCAGGAAGATGAGTGAAGTGTGCAAAGTGGGTCTGGTGTAAGATGATAACAGGAAAAAGACTCTTGGTTTCAGTATCAGGAGGTAACAGGGAGTAATAGGGATTATGACAAAATGGAGCCCATGTGGCACCCTCTGGAGAGGCAGCACTACTCAGCTCCAGCCTGTTGCTGTCATATGCCATGTATAAGTGGCCTCAGTATTTCTGGACCTTCTAATGTTTCACATAAGGCAGAGATCCAGCAATCAGGTGACATTCAGAGGGCTAACAGAATGCATCTGCGGGCTGTATCTGCCCTAGGATGGACAAGACCACAGCTGTGTGTTTTTCTGAGTTCTCAACAGAAGCTTGATCCCTTCCATTTGTTCCTTTCTCTTCCCAGGCCATTACATTTATGTGGACACCTCCTTTGCCAAGCAAGGGGAGAAAGCCCTGCTGCTAAGTTCTGACTTACAGGCTGAGGAATGGAGCTGCCTCCGACTGGTCTACCAGATAACCACATCTTCAGGGTCCTCATCAGACCCCAGTCGGCTGAACCTCTACGTGAGATATGAAGATGAAAGCTTTGATCGTTTGCTTTGGTCAGCTAATGAACCTTCGGACAGCTGGCTCATAGCCAGTCTGGATTTGCAAAACAGTTCCAAGAAATTCAAGGCAAGTGGAATTTAGGAGGGTGGTACAGATCTTTTCTGTGGACTCATGCTATTCTGAGTTCTTCTGAAACTGCTGCCATTGGAGTTAGTTATCTTCTGTGTTAGAATGTGATGTTTTATAGGAGGTGCATCAGAGAAGAATATTAGAAATGGAGATTAATATGTTGTTTATTCCTTAAAAGAGCTTCTTTCTAGATATCTTTTCTGTCTATTTAAATGGGACTTCAGTACAAACCTCAATGGGGCTTAAACCAACCTCTCCAATGGAAACTTATTTCTAATGGGCTGCAAGGGAGCATTCTCATTACTTATTTTGTTTTATTCTTCTAAATTGTATGTGGTATATGCTTATGTTTTCTTCATAATGGTTTGTTTCCTGCAATTTTTTTTCTTTATTGATTTTAGAGAGAGAGGAAGGGAGAGGGAGAGAGAGACAGAAACATCCACGAGAGAGAACATCAGTTGGCCGCCTCCTGCATGCCCCCTACTGGGGACCAGGCCCACAACCTGGGCATGTGCCTTGACCAGGAATCAAACTGGCGACCCCTTGGTGCATGGGTCGACACTCATTGAGCCATACCAGCCGGGCTGTTTCCTACAAATTTTAAACAAAATATGAACATAATAAAAAGAAAACTGAAAATACTTTGAAAGAGGATGACTACTTAAAGGGCACACTCTGATTCTTTTCAAAGACAGAAGTGGTTCCGTCAGAACAACTTGGAAAAGGAAGGTAGAGAATGTATGATGAAGTTGGATGTGCAGTAGAGTAGGGAAGAGAGATGGGATCTTGATTCACTTGGCCATCAAGTGTACTGTTTAGTGAATATATGCTTTGGAGGATACAGTGGAGTCTTCATGAAAGTGTTCTCCATTCCTAATCCCCTTTTCAATTTCCTACCCCATCCCACTTCTTCAAAGAGGTTTGAAATACTCACCTGTCCTCTATGCCTGGCCAGCTTGTAGTCGCCCCCCCATCAGGTAACAGGGTGGGTCGAGGGAAGGAGCACTGAGGGTCTCAGTTCCCTATTTCACAACATCCTCTCAACAGCATATTACACCCAAAATCTACCAACATAGTTGCAAAATATTGGGCTGAAATTGCCCAAGGAAAAGCAAGTACTTTCAGAAGCAGTACCAAATGTGAACCATAACAGTGCTTCAAATAGCTCACAAATTGTCATGCTTCTGTCTGTTCAGCAATATAGAAACTACAAGTTTATTGATTTGAGCCTCCTCTGTCTTATGCAGAGACCTCCCATCACTAGTCAGATTCTGCTTTCTGCCTCCTCCTCCAAGAGATTTTTCTCCCTCTGAAACCTCTGCCCTCTGTTCCTGGTCATTCTCAGAATGGATTTCCCCCGAGACACAAGCTCCCTCTCCATCCACAGCCTGTTGATGTTACCAATGCACTGGAGAAGGTAGTGCTTGGGATAACAACAGAAGACAGCTGACTCTAAGCTTTTACTGGACATTGTGTTCCCCTCAAAGTTCTCAGTATATATGTATACACACATGCACTGTTTTAATAAAGTCCATCATAAAATTGGTATCCAATATCAGTGAGTTAAAACAATCAATCAATTTTTGCCTTGAATTGCCGATCATTTCCCCACTAACAGCTGAAATACTGAGTCAAGGAAACATGGCATTTTGAAATCTAATTCCCTTTCCCCCATATGTTGCGCAGATTTTAATAGAAGGTGTGCTGGGACAGGGAAGCGCAACCAGCATTGCACTCTTTGAAATCAAGATGACAACCGGCTACTGTATTGGTAAGTGGGTTTCATTCTCATTGCATCAGAACGTGAATCTTTTCCTAAAATCCCCTCTTGCCAGAGGAAATTGAATTCATCTTAAAGGCTAAGTATTTTATAGAATGTGCTGCACTATGCATAGTAGTTAAAATGCTTTGCTAGCTTCACTAGAATGGCGTGTTTTGTTTCCCATCTTTAGCATGGGAAGGCTCATTAGCATTTGCCTGGACTGGCTGGATTAATGAAAGACAGGTAGATGCAGCAAATGTAACCTGAGTTGTGCCTTAACCTCAATGGTCTAATAACAATAATTTCCAGTTTGCTGTAAACTCAGCTTTTGTTGCATTTGCCAAAAAAGCAGGCATCCTGTTACCTCCCTCCCTCCCTTTACTCTTTTGCTCTCCTGCACCCCATTGCCTCTGCCTTTATCATCACAGTTGTCACCTTGACTCCACTTGAGCTGGGCTGCCTGAGTGCCTGTTATGTGCCAGGTTCTGAGAGGGTGTATAGAGAAGACATACCATGTCCTTGTGGTTGCTCACCTTCTACTTGTCTGCCACTGGAGCTATTTCTACATATGATAAATACTGCAGGGGAGGGAGGAGAGGAAATCAAAGAGGACTGAGTTCAGGAGACATATTTGAGCTGGGGTTTCAAGAAGGAGTAGAGCCCTGGCCAGTATGTCTCAATGGTTAGAGCATTGGCCTGCACAACAAAGACTCATGAGTTCAATTCCTGGTCAAGGGCATATATCTGGGTTGCAGGTTCGATCCCACAGGGGCACATGCTGGAGGTAACCAGTCGATGTGTCTCTCTCACATTGATGTTTCTCTCTCCCCCACCCCATCCCTTCTACTCTCTAAAAATCAATGGAAAAAATATCCTTGGATAAGAATTAACAAAAAACAACAATAAGCAAATAAAAGAAGGAGTAGAACTTAGTCAAGTAAAGGTACTGGATAGAAAGACTCCAGTGTGGAGGAACCACAGAGCCTGCTCAGGCAAAGGCAAGAAACTCAGCAGGGAAGAGTCTGGATCCCGGCTGTGGAGCCTGGGTTAATGGATTACGTGGTTGGGAGATGCTAAATCTCAGTCTGCAAGGGAGGGCCCTGCAACTGTGGTTTTCCGATGATGACTCGGGCTGCCTCATGGAAACTTGCATTAGAAACAAGGAAAATATGGAAGAGGCAGGAGAACCCCTATAATGTGATTATGACCTTACAGAGGGGACATAATGAGGGTCTCAAATTGGGGTTGGCAATGGAATAGGAAAAGAGTGATTTTTCAGCACTGACAGTAAGTACTTGGAGGTTGATTGGCTGTGGAGAGGAAAAGAAAGAGTCAAAGACTATTCTGAATACAAAAGAGCCTTTGCTGATTCCCTGAGGCTTACTTCTGTTTTGACTTTCCAATGATGATGCTAAGGCAACTAAAGAAAACAGACTGAGAATGTGACCATTTTCTAAAGACAGTGAGTTTAGACCTAAGATCCCTTCCTTGAACCTCCCTGAAACTCCCTGTGGTGGTTGGATGGGTCTTGGACAGCTGGCTGACCTGTCAGACACTCCTGGTGGAGGACCACCTGCTGGCTCAGTCAACTCACTGACCCCACAGCCTCTGTTTTGTCACCTGTAAAATGGGGATATAATACTTCCCTCATAAGATTATTGTGGGGACTAATCATATGCTGGATATGAAGGTAATTTATATGGTGCTGGACACTCAAGAAATGTTCATTTCCCCTTTTCAAGTCATTTGATAGCTTCTGCTTTGTTTGGAAAACAAAAGGAGAGCCAATGCTTTTATCTTGTTACTTTGCATATACGCTCACCTCTCCTTCCTTTCGGAGCACTCTCTTTGCTTCTCACAGTTCCTGATCTGCAAAATGAGGTTAATAATAGTATCTACCTCATGGGGTTGTTTTGAGGATTCATTAAGTCAATTCATATACAGTGCTCAGAATAGTGCCTGGCACATGGAGGAATATTTTGCTTTTTATTTTACTCTGAGTCAGTCTTTGGCACTGAAAGTTGAGCATTGGTTAGCAGATGCTGCAGTGGAACAGTTGCTAATGAAAATCTTGAAATGTTTCAATGCTTGCTAATGTGAAAACACATTGATAACTATATCAGTCAAGGTCGTGGCAGAAAAGTGGAAACAGAGGGTCCATTCAGCCTGAGTCATTTGAGGAAAGTTCAGCAAGGAATACAAAGGTGTGCGTGGGTCATGGAAACCGGCGAGGGAGGGTTCAGTAATCAAAGACTAGTAACAGTGGTGACTCATGACCTGTCACTATCTTTAGATCTGAAGGGGCACCAGAACCTAGAGACAGTAGCTGGGTGGCGAGACCTTCTTGACATGAGCTGTGTCCCCAGTAGAGGGACACAGCCAACCCACAGAGACCTGGCAGGCAAGGGGGTGGGGATCACTGGGGAATAAACAGTCCCAAACTCATTCTGCTCCTACCTTTCATTGGACGAATACAACAGGAAGGCATAAGTCAGGGGAACCCACAGATATAATCCATACAGGTCAACCTCTGGAGGACAGAGAGGGGTGAAAAAGGGAGGGTGAATCTGAAGGGACCAATGGAAATGACCAGCACAATCACACTTCATATTTTTAATTGATTACTGGGGTCAATGGAAGCACTGGCTTGTGAGTTTCTTCTTCCTACTAAAGGAGTCTGTTGACCAGGAACAATTTATCCATGCAAACATGTCAATGCCACTAAAAGGGGGGGAGGGGAGGTCTCTTTATCATGTATCTCTTCTCTATTCAGTAGCTTCAGAAAGACCCAGAGCCTAGGATATGCCTGCCCTGCTTATTCTAACTAGGTTCTTATTTACAAAAAAAAAAAAAAAAAAGCAGATTAGCATTAGGAAGGATGCCCCTTAGCTCTAGGTATCTTGTCCACCATCAGGAGAGAAATAGATGGAAGAATGGGCTACCAGGTGCAAAAAAAGGTGGACAATAAATTTCTGGAGCTAAGAGCATAGCCCTAAACAGTGCTTTGAAACAGGATGGCTGATAAATACGGCTGGTTTGTACTAAGCCCCAGTCGTGTGTGTGGCATTGTCCTGGGAGCTGTCCCCACCTAAACAGCCCTATGAGGTTGGAACATTCCACTCCTTTCACATGTGAAGAAACGGAGGCTAAGAGAGGTGGTGAGTCTCTCTGCATGCAAGAGGGCTTGTAGGGAGAAGAACCACAGCCCAAAGGGGCAGCGATGAATTACAGTCTTGATTCATCACAGGATCCTTCTCTCCTCTTGACCAGTACTGTCCAGGGGTCCTGGTCCCAAGGTTCCAGTGAACAAAGGGAGTAAGAAACAGATGTTGATATCTAAAAGCAAACTCTGCAAGTGTGACTATATCTCCATGAGGTATGTTTTTATTTCTCTTCTGCCAGAATGTGACTTTGAAGAAAATCATCTCTGTGGCTTTGTGAACCGCTGGAACCCCAACGTGAACTGGTTTGTTGGAGGAGGAACAGCTCGGAATTCCCACTCCGTTCTCCCGCAGGATCACACCTTCAGGAATGAACTGGGTGAGCTGGGGACCAGTGGACTCCTTTCCCCAGGGTAACTGTTTCTGCCATCTCTTCCCGCCCCTTGCATTGACCTAACTTTGGCTCTGTCAACAGGGAAGGGAGGAGAGAGGAGGGTTGTTGGATCCAGGAAACCTGGTGGTAATGTAGGGAAGCATAATTCATCCGATAAGGACAAACTGCAGACATGAGAGCTATAGAGCGAAGGGGAACATTTCCATATTATGCTTTACTTTCTTATCTATTTGTTGTTCAGTACTTATTATTTCTGAAGACCAGGCTGGAATACTCTTAGGTTACTGTTCACTAGAAATAGATCCAATGATGGGAGCAAGTCCTTAAGAACATTTAAGTGGCTGGTGAGATGAACTAAGACCCAAGATTAATCCTGAATGTGGTGTGCAGCAGGGCCCCCTAGTGGCCACGAGGACTGATCCTCTGCAGAGAAAATTCGACCTTGAGGAGAAATTTTCCACTGAAGGAAGAAGACAAGGGCAAGGCAGAACCAAAGAACAAAAAAATGCCCCAGAAACTATTTGTGTAGATATATCTCGAATCACTTACATAAAAGGAGTTAAAATGGGAAAAAGACAAAATATTTTCAATTTCTTCTTTTAAAAGTAAGGCAGGTTTAGCACTTTGGAAAATGACAAAATATCAGGGTTTCCATGTGTATATCTGTATCTTGGCCCTAAAGACCCACAGCCCATTTCCACGTATGGCCACTGGAGGAAGCACGCTATAAGTGAGTTATGTGTAGAGTGAATGGTAACCATTCATGATACGTTAATCCATGAATCTGCATGAGTATTTTAAAAGACAAGTGGGTTAACTCAAAGCAACAAAATGTTCCCACCTCGTGACATCTTTACTTAAATGAAAAAAAGCAACGAACAATCTCTTGTGGTTTCACAAAGAAACTTTCTCTTAATTTATAGGAGTAAGCTAATTTTGAGATTGTTTTTCTCTCTTATTTAGCAACCAGTACAAGGAGTACAGAGAATCTTGAAAGATTGATGCATTAAAATTGCGGTAATTCTTGGCGTCCGTGTCTCCGAGGTACAGGCTTAAGTACGGGGAAGTGTTGAAGAACTTTTTCCATTCACACAAAAATTAGTTCCAAGGTTAGATCCTGTGGGTAACCAATGTTAGGATCTAACGATTATTTATTCAATGTGTCATTTTTCATCCTTAGTGAAGGTAAGGACCAGCTGGCTGGGGAGCACACATTTCTTGGAAGAGGCAACAGACCAGTAGTGTCAAGTAATTTATTTGACTATGTTACCTGAATGTAATCCTTCCTTTGAAGAGTGTATCGCCCCTCGTCCTTGCTCATTCTCACTTGTGACCACAGATATTTTGACCATATTTGTGTCAACAAGGGATAGAGGAAGAGGACGAGCTCAGAGTCCTGACGCCTGTGCTCCAGACCCAGATATCAGAGTGCCGCATTGCTTTGGGCATTATTTTGTTTTATCCTTAACTTCCCAGCGTCTTCATTAGCCTCTTTGCAAATGAGAAATTTGAATTCCATGATCTTGAAGATGTCTTTGAGGTATAATAATTTACTGTTTTTTCTTTACCTAATACTATACATCAAAATGTCCAAATTCATCACCTCTTGAGATCTATATTAAAATGTTTTGGGTCCCTCATGAGTACTTATGAGCACACTGCATTTGGCACTAGAAAAAGGGAAGTCTAAAAGGTATCAGGGGTAAGAAAAATAAGACCTGTCTTTTCTAATATCTTAACCAGAGATTTTTAAATATCTATATCAAGAGATGGGCGTAAGATGTGGTCATCCCTGAGGAGCACTAAGACTTGTTGGTAGGACACTGTCATTCCTGCCATAGGCGTGCCTGTCTCCTGTCCCTCTCCCTCTCCCCATCCCATCTTCTCCTCTCTATTTTCTTATCTTTCATCTTCTTTCTTGACTGTCCCAAGGCAGGCAACTTTGCCCACTAGCATTACTTAGTCCCTTGCTATCAATACTGAAGCCTAAAGAAGTAGCTGACCCTGGGCCTGAAGGGAAGAAATCTACAGAGAACTTTTACCTCCCTTCCAGCAACCCACCGGACTATCTAGTCAGTCCAATCAGACCCTGAGCACCAGAATGAGTTCCTTCATTCATCACTCATTCATTCATTCAGTCAGTCATTCATTCTCCCAACAAACACATAATAAGCACTTTTTATATGTCAGACATTCTTGCGAATCCTGGTGATACAAAAACAGTCACTGACCTCAAAGAGATCACAGGAACCAACTTTTCCAACCTGCTGCTTCCTAGACCACTTATTGAGAAGAATAATGTTTATATGAGGGAAGAAGGGCTCTCTGTGAGTCAAATAAACTGGGGAACTCTGAGCTAAAGAAAAATAAACAGATTTCTTTATTTTAGGACTTCTTGATGCTTTAATATCATTCTGTATTAATATATATTATGGCATTTCTCAAATTATTTAAATACTTAATTATTAAGCATTTAATACTTAATTATTAAAATTTTGTGTAAACATGCACAGTGATACATGACTAACAGAGGTACAAAATAAATGATACGGGGCCAGAAAAGTGAAAGGCTGCCTAGGATTTGGGGCTCGGGGAAGGCTTTGGAGAGGAAGTGATATCAGAACTGGAATTTGCCAGATGGATAAGGAGCAGACACGTGCAGCATATGCAAAGTTGTGTGGGCACGAGAGTGGACAGTTTATCAGCTGGCTGGAGGGTGCTGAGGATGCCAGGATGTATGATGATGGCAGAGCAGCCCCGGATCCGAGGTTAAGTTCCTGTTGACAGTAAGTGTGATGCCTGGATGCCTGCCTCCCACTTGCTCCTCCCGACTCCTCTCTCCTCTCGCTCTTTCACTCCAGTTTCTCTTCAGCGTTCGAACTAATGTTTTGCCTAAACATTAGCCAAACAGCCCCCTCATTCCCGCCCATTGCACACACATGTGCATGCATGCACACACTCACATGCATTCATACTCTTCACACCTGGACTCCTAGGTAAAACTTTCCCCTAAATATGATGGGGCTAAAAAAGATGAGTTCCAAAGATTTTTAAATATTTTATTTGAAAAACACTCTGCCCCTATGACTCAAAGGCTTGACCAGGATCATTCTTGGGAAACACACACACACACACACACACACCCTCCAAAGCTCTAACTAGGAGAAAGGTTGCCTTCCTTATTACATCTGCCTTCCACTGGGCATATTGATTTTCCCTGAGCTCTATCAATTTGGGTAGCAAAATAAAGATTAAATGGTTCAGATGTCTGCCCGCGGCAGCAGATTTTGCTCTATATAAATTCATCTCATGTTTATTCATGTACTGGAAGCAGTTTTTACCTCTGGTTTCAGGTAAAAACTGGAGACGTGAACAGCGAGGGGCCAGGGAAGCTGTGTGCCTGCTCAGGAGGGTTGGCGCCTCAGAGAGGTCGAAGGAGTCTTCCCAGGAGGGCTCTGGCCTTTATGTTGTAGAAAAGGGAACAGTGAATGTGATCTCTGAACAATAGGATGTGGGTATGAATTTTCCTTTATTCGGCTGTGTGTTTATAACAGTGAGTCAGATTTTTCAAATGAGCACCGTGTCTCCAAATTCTTGTCTAGTGATGAAAATGGCTCAAGTGCGCAGTGGGAACTGTGGCGGGACATCCTGGGAATACTGGAGCGGATGGAATATTGTCTGCTTTTCCTTTCTCAATTCTGATTCATCACATATGGATTTTTCCTCTTTTAATATTTTGTGAAGTGAAAAAAGAATCTTTCGGGAGGTCACCTACTGACAACTCAGATCATTACTGTTTCCTCCCTGCCTGAGCAAAAAGGAGATAATTGCTAGAAAACTAACAAGGGAAATCCATTTCTTGGCTGAGATTTCTTTAAATCAAACCTGCTTATGGGGCCATTCTAGAAGGAGCTGACCAAGGTTTCCAAACCTAAAATAAGGTCAGAATTATTGTATTCCATCAAAGACCCAGAGATGGATGGACCATCCTTCCATAACTCGTGACACTCTCTTCTCATTTCAGCTCACACTGAGCTCAAGTGTCGTCTTAACAGCACCTGAGCGTCGGCTCTCTGCATTGACCCTTCCGGTTCATTGCCTAAGCACTCAGGAGGGAGGCAGCCTCATCCGTGTTCCTCCCGTTGCCTTTGTGCAAGCTCTGCTGGGTCTCCTCTCCCTGTCCTTGGATGACTTGCCATTTTGCCTGGTATTAACAGCTTCCTTTTAAAGGATCAAGTTCAGTCACATCAAATTTCGAAAATCTCACCCGAGTCAAATCTTCCCGCAGGCAGAGCATGGTAGAGTAGCCCAGAGAGCGTTTGTACTCTATTTCTTCATAGGTCTCCCCCTTTAGTCTCCCCCCACTTGCTCACTGTGCTGCTCCTGGCTCATCCAGGGTTGGGGAGGCATGACGAGGGTGGGACAGAAAGGGGAAGGAAGTAGATGAAACGTTTTATGTGGCCAGAGCTGTTTAATCTGGAGTTGATGTTCTTTATACTGCAGGAGGCCGAATACTGGCCATTTCTCTCACACTATTCCCACTCCACTCTTCCCAGACGGGCGATGCACTCTCTGGGAGACCCCTTTAGTAACGGTACACCTGGCCAGCTGCTCTCTGTTGGAATTACCACCCTGCATGCATCCTTTTGAGAAAAGTCCTTCAAGGCACCGTAGTCCAGCTGCCATCTGAGTTGTCAACTTTGGCTAAGGGAAAACTCAAATCTTTGTGTCATCAAACTTTAAAAATGGAGCTCACTAACTACAAAATCCTTTGTGTCCACTCTGCCCCTACAGGTCCTCCTACCTCTTGCCTTTAGATCTAGGCAGTCGAGAGTTAGACGCCCGCCTCAGCACCCCACAAACTCCAGTTATCAATCGTCAAGTTCTCCCATTAACTCTGACCACCCTCCTCTCAAGGCCCAAGGCGATCACAGAACTGGAAACCCGAGGATGGGTGAGGATGAGGTTACATAAGTTCCCCTCTT